GGTCCAGCCGTCCGGGCTGTGTCCCCGCAGGCAGCTAACGGAGCTCAGCTCCAGGGCTGGATCCAGCCCCTGCTCAGGTGCCTGGCGCCGCCTGCCCTGGAATGTGCTCGGACCGGTCTGGGCGCAGTGGGGCCCTCGCTGCTCCCCCCTCCGGTGCACAGCCTGGCTGTGGACGTGGCTCTTGGCTGCATTCTCCCGGGCTCTGGGCCAGGAGCTGCTCTGCTGCAAAGTCCCAGTTGTCCCGGGGCAGGGTCTGCTGCCCAGCCAGGACAGACAGACCACTGCTGCGCCCCGGAGATTGTGAGGGGCAGGGGAGAACCACCTCGTGTCCAAAGCCTGCAGGCTGTGGGCCAAAGGGGTGGGAGGGAGCGTGCTGACTGTGTTCCAGGGTTCAGAGCGGGAGCTGGGGCTGGCTCCTCTGGGACATGCAGCTCTGCCGGGAGCTTTCTGGAAGGCAGGAGGCTGCAAGCAGGGCCAGGGGGGCACATCCTGAGGGGCTGCCGTGCCATGCAGAGGCCACTCAGTGCACGCTCCAGGCCCTGGCCCTGTGGGGTCCTGGCTTGGGAGGTTGGGGGTTTCTCTGGATGAGTGAGAGCTCCAGGATGCTGACCCCAGGGAGAGGGTCTCCATCTCGGCTCCATCGTCATGTCTGTGTCCTTGCAGGCCCTGAGGATGTCAGACGGGATCATGAGCAAGGCTGCCACCATGGAGATCCCCATCAGCAGCAACGGGGACACGGGCAGCCTGCCAGAGGACGACGGCTTGGAGCAGGTTTGTAGCTGGGGCCGGGTGGGGAGGTGCCAGACCCCCAGGTATGGCTTTCTGGTCCGGGCTGTGCTGCTGTGCTGGCTCTGCCCCAGGTCCTCTCCGTCAGGGCCGCGCCGTCCTCGGCTGTGTGTCCCGGCACTGCACCTCAGCTGCCTGCGCTCCTCCCTCTGCTGCAGGACCTGCAGCAGGTGATGGTGTCGGGGCCCAACCTCAATGAAACCAGCATCGTCTCTGGCGGCTACGGGGGCACAGCTGAAGGCATCATCCCCACCAGCACCATCAAAGGTAGGCTGGGCCACAGCACAGGCGCGCGTGGTCGGGGCTGGGGCTGCCTGCCAAGGGCAGTGCCGCTCCTCGCACGACGGCAGAGGTGGAGGGAAAGGCTCTGTCGTGGGAAGGAGGGCACAGCTCACCTCGCCGTCCTCTTGCTCCCTGCCAGGCTGCGGGAGCCTGCAGGAAAGGAGGTGTGCTGCTCGAGCCGCAGGGCCTGGGATCCTGGTCCCTCTGCCGGGGCATGGCTCATGGTGGTGCCAGGCGGGGAGGGTCTTGTGTGGGCGCACGGGCAGAAGCTCCGTCTCGAGCCTTGACTCGAGCTGGCTGTTGCCTGGGCCCCGCAGCGCATCCCCTGCTTGGTCCTGACACATTCTGCCTCGGCCCGGCTGTTCGGTACAGTGCCTCCTTCCTGGGATGGGAGCTCCTGCTGGTGCAAGGTGGCTCCTTCCCCTTCTTCCCTGCCAGGCTTGGGCTCCGCTACCGGGCTGGCACACACGTGCCCCCAGCAGAGCCTGGCTGCCTCGGGGTGGAGGGGCTGCCACCCTGCTAAGCCCACTCCTCTGGCACTCCCCGCACACGGTGGCTAACGGAGAGGCACTGTGGGAGGGCTGGGCCACAGGCGCTCCCTTCCCACTGGCCGGGGGTGCCCCCGGGGCGGGCTGTGGCGCCTGGGCTTCACACTGTGCTGTGGCACAGCAGCTCTCGGGTCCTTCCTCCAGTGGTGGGGAAAGACACCAGTGTCCCGACTCTTCTCCAGTCTTGAGTGAACAGGGAGCTCTGGGGTTGTGCAGGTGCCAGCAGTTGTGTGACGAGGACCAGGATGGCCTGCCCACGGGGGGACGGGGCAGGGTGGCTCTGAGCCCCATGCTTTTCCCTTATTTCCTCCTCTTGTTGCTCAGGCTGGCCCTGGGGTTGAGGGTGCTCCTGATGGCAAGGCACGGCTGCAAGCATCCTGGGTGCGGGGGGTGTGCCACAGCCCTGGGGCCCTGCTGGCCCCTGTGACCCCCCGGTGGCTCTGCCCAGGTGCGGGGGCAGCGATGGCCCGGCGGGTCCATGGTGAGCGTTGGTGGTGCTGGGCTGGGCTGAGCCAGCACTGCCAGGGCAGCTCTGTCATAGCCACACCTCTCACCCTCGGTCCCTCCTGGTCCTGTTTCACACCAGTCTCCGTCCCCCACCCTCGCCCCAGGTGTCTCTTCTGCAGCAGACGGCTGCTCGACCCTGGCCGCTCCGTCCTGCGCTAGGCTTGTGCGAGCGGATTTGGACAGGCAGAGGGGACGTGTGCCTTTGCTCCCAGCCTGCTCTGCCGAAGAGCAGCACAAGCGGGTGGCAGGAGGAGGTGTGTGCCATGGCTGGCGTCCCCTTGTCTGTCACACCAGGCCTGTCCAGCTCTTAGGCACGACGATGCTGGCTGTCGGGACGGAGGGAGTGGGGAGGTGTCTTTTTCCGCCCGCCCCACCCGCCCTCCCATCCTCTGTCCTGGCCGTTCCTGCCCCCGTGCCCGTCACGCCGCCCCATCTCCTCTGCCCTCTCTGCTCAACGCCTGCCAGCCCCTCCATTTCCAGGCTGTCTTGTCCAACCTCACCCACCCCGAGGACCATCCGTCTCCCCCAGCGCATCTGCCGCCAGCAGGATGGCCAACCAGGCTGGCACTTCAGCAGGTACTGCAGCCGCCCGGCCCCCGGCCGGTGCTCCGTGGTCCCCCCGCCTGGGCTTGGGCACCTCGCCCCGGGTTAGGGTGCCTGGTGAGCGCTGGGCTCCCTCGGAGCACCTCCACGGAGACGTGGCTGCAGCCCCACGTAGCCACTGGCCTGCAGGCCGGCCAGCCCGCTGCTACAGGAGGAAGAGCTTCCCAGCGCTTGCCGCCTCCGGCACCTGCAGCCACGTCTCAGTCCTGGTGCGGGGGGAGAGGATGGCACTGCCAGGGCCCCGGGTGGCTCCAAGGTGAGACCCCGGTGGTGCCCGGCTGTGGGAGACTACTGCAGCGAGGAGCCCACCCGCGTACTTCCCCGGAGGCGGCTGGCCGCCTCCCCTCTCCTCTGGCCCGCTCGGAGAGGAGGGGGCTCAGGCAGGAGGCTGCATGGGCGCTGGGGCCCTACCTGTGAGAGCCCCTGTGGCTGGGCTGGTGACGAAGTGGCCCCGGGGCCAGGCCCTGCCAGCTCCTGCAGGCGCACTGGGGTCTGTGCCTTCTCCTGCAGGGTCGGCTGCCACCGTGGCCAGGGGCTGCTTGGGACCCCTCGGGAAGGACTCGTAGGAGCAGGGTCCCTGCTGCCTGCGCGAGGTGTCAGGGCGTGCTGCCTGCGAGCTGGTTCACAGGCGGGCAGCCATGCGAGGCCGGCTGGAGCCCGTTGGGACTGCCGGCTGGGGGGAGCTGCCCAGGGCCGGAGCGGGGCCTGGTGCCAGCGCTGCACCGTAGCAGGCACGGTGGCAGCTTCTCGGGCAGGGAGGGTTCTGCTCCAAACAAGAGTCTGTCGTGCGTGGGCTTTGTCGAGCCCTGATGCAGCCCCGTGGGACACCTGCGCTCCTCGCGGTGCCCTGAGCCCCCCGGGCCCAGCCGCGGCACCCTGCTGCGCAGGCACTGTTGGTTTTGGGTGAGCAGCCTGGCCTGTGCCCTCACTGCTGCCCTGATGAGCCGACGCCGCACGGGGCTGTGTCTGTTCCAGGCTCCGGGCTGCACCAGCCCCACCCCAGCCCTGCTGTCGGAGGAGAGGAAGTTGTCCGCGGCATCGCCGTGGAGAAGTTTGACATTGTCAAGAAATGGGGTATCAACACCTACAAGGTGAGCTGCTTCCCGGGACCGTGGGGAGGGCCCAGCGCGCCGCCAGGGCTGCGCAGTGGGGCGGGGGGTCCGGCCAGCCCCTGTGCTGGGGGCGGGGGGGCG